CAAAAATTTGCCTTGCAAAATTCAGATCCATTTTTAAATTCTCAGTGAATTTCTAACTGAACACTAGTGAAATTAGTATTATTATAGAGAATGAAGAGACAAACAAATATGGAGCAAATTTGAATTGTAAATATTAAAATCCATGGAGAATTTTTCGATTATTTTCCAAAAAATTTTAAACCAACAAGCTGTTTTTGAATTAATTTGCATGGTTTTGGTTGGCGTGTTAGGAGTTAAAATAGGCGAAACGTCACTTTTTCCATTTTCATCAAACGTGTCATTTTTTTGTTTCTCAAAAATTGTTCGAAATAGTGCAGTTGGTGTTGATGGTATCGATAATGAACCTGGCGATAAATTAATGAAGTTAGCATGTATTAATATCAGGACATTGGCCTAATGCCTTTTGCCTGCTATCATTATCATAATAGAATATGGAAAAAAGCTCGAAAATTGGAGGCTAACTTTCGAATAAATTTTTCAATACTGTACGATTTCGAAAGTATTTCGACTTGTAATTTCAAACATTATTATCCTCAATATTAAAAAAGAACAATAAACCAAGTACCTTTTTGGCTGTCATTTGGTTGAAATGCGGGCAAAGATGCAAATTTTTTCTCGAAATCGACTTGATTTAGGACTCTTCAATAATGATAAGATGAAAATGAAGTTTGGTACGATTTAGACTTTTTGTAATTATTGAAATTAAAATTAAAAGTCTACGCTTAACTTATTTATTATCTATTATGAAGAAAATGGAAGGCTATAATAATGAAATAAATTCATAAATATTAGCTATGCTATAATATTTTATAATTTTTCAATAACTTTTGCTTTTTAACGATTTTTAATAATTACTTATCCATGGTAATATCATTACGCTTGAAAAGTTTTTTTACTGATCCACTATCTTTTTCCAGATTTTCGTTCAATTTATTAATCGTCGAAGTATCTTCTCTTGTCATCTTAGCTTCTTTTTTGCCCATATTCGAATGTTCCTTCTTGCTCTGATTCTCAATGCAATTATGATTATTGGCTGATTCTTCAGACAAATCTGCATTATCCTTATCTTTTAACTCTAAAATAAAAGATAAAAATAGTGAAATATAGAAATATAAGAAATTTAACAAAGAAATCGTATATTGGTCTTTTTTGACCACTTGACTGTGTAGAAACAAGTTAGCAAAAGCATTGAAAATATCTGAAGGATTAGAGATATTCGAGATGGCCAAGTAGCATATTGTTTTAATTAAGACCAATCATGATGGTTACCACCTATGCTTTTACCCACAAGTCTCTGATGCGATCAGTGGAATCATTCAAAGCGAAAATGATGAGTGCTGTTAAAAGCAGAAAGAATATCTCGAAACGGAAAGGTATGTCGAGCTGAAAGAAACTAAGGCAAAATTTTGTCGTCTAATACGAAGCCAAGTTCAGTTATAAAGGAAAAAAGGCTGAAATTTTGTACAATAACACTATAGGAAGAATATAGAAAATTTTCCAGATATTGTATTCTATTAATAAAATTTGGATAACCTGAAATCATATTCATAGGCATCATGTTTTCTTTTTTTTGCGTTTTTCGCTGCGCTTTAATAATTCCTCGCTGTGCAGGTGTTGGCATTAAAATAAAAGCACTCGCTTCATCATTCATTCGCTTTTTGCAATCGGAAGTTACACCCGAAAGTAATTTATTAAATATATCAACAGGATGCGGTGACATTTTAGAGTTATTAATAGCACTGCAATTGATAATTCTGTAACAAATAATTGGCCAAAAAAAAGCGAAACTTTCATTTGCATGGTAAATGGCAATTATAATTACAATTATTATTATAATTATTCAAATGATATATTGCACCTGTATGTTGTTAATTGATTTTTTTCTAAGTCGTTTTTTTCTAAAGTTTCTGATTCGGCAGTATTCATCGCTCGATTCTGAATTGAGATTGTAGATAATAACGCCTAAAATTCATCCGATTATTATTATTCACTGTCCTAAATTCCTTGTTTTGGAAGCAAGCTTTTTTATTTTAATTTATTTATAAATAGAATGGCTCAGCGGATTGTTTCGAAGTGTCGATGCTGAGGTTCCAATCATAGTAAAAGTAAACTTCTAAAAATCCAGTCTCTGACAATCGACAAACTAGGGAGTGAGTCTAATAAGGAATAATGAGCGTTCTTAGAAAAAATTGGGAAAATTGGGAAAATGCGAACGCGATGTTAACAAATGAAGATTTAAAATTAAAGATTTCAAAAAGCAAAAAAACTCGAACTTCTTTCGGATTGATCTTATTAAGAAGCGCATTTTTAAATTCGATTTTCGTTGAAGAAATGGAAGAATTGTTTTCTATATTTCTAATTTGGCTTGTTGTGTTGTGAAAAGATGAATATTGTTGATCGAGGAGGATACTTGATCCACTTGCTCGATGATTCGGTTGCTGGTTTGAATTGAAGATATTATAGGGCATCGATGATGTAATCGGAAACAAAGGAGATGCTGGTTCGACTGTTGTATTTAAATTCAAGCGAATCCGATCCGCTGGTGAGACTCCGATCTGAATTAAAGCTACATAAAACTATTGCTAAAATTTTTATCAAAATATAATTGTAGCAAATTCAGTAATAGGTATATTTAATTGGCAAGCAAATCTGTAAATATTCAAATAAGTAATTTGAAAATATTTGAAAGCGTAGATATATTGGTGTATGCAATTAAGATAATCATGCATAACACTGCTACTAACAAATTAAAGAATTCGTGAGAAATCTTTTAAGTATGTGTGAAAAAAAAAAACGAATGACAATAAAATCAGAATTTAATGAATTTCAAATTTAAGTTCAAATTTAATATTTCTTCATCTAATACTATTTCTAGTCTCAGTGATTACTAAGATGAAATATTAATTCTTTTTCCTCTCACCAGAAAGCTATTTGGGAATGGCGATACATCTAAATCCTCAGTAGGCAGCAGGATTATTTAGGCTTATTTAGCAATTTGATCATTCTGATAAAAAGGAGAAACAGTTAACAAGATAGCAAGATAATATATGGAAATGGATAATGGATCACAAATACAGCAAATGGATAACGCTAAAAGCAAAATAAGCCAAGCAAAAGCATATGCGATACCAAAGGGTTGTATTCGCCGAACTGCCTAGTGAACAAAGGGCACTCAGCATTACGAGCAAGTCCTTCGGGAAATGCATATCGCTGCTGGTACATCGTTACTCGCGCTACTTGCTCCATTGTACATTTATCATTCCATTTGAATGCAGATTGCAATTTCATTGGCGATAAAAGTGAATTCGAATAACGCAACGGTAAATGGCTACCACAATTCGAAGAAAATTCGAAAATCTTCTGCTATAAACAAATTATTTAACGCAGAAATGCATCAAAATTTTTGACAAAGCACATAATATTATTTTGTAAACAATGCATGCATATTAGGACTGGAAATAATTAATGATTTTAAGAATTCATTTTAAAGCTCAACTTGAAGCTGGTTTATTTTGCACCGATTTCCTATAATATTTATGGAAAATTATGGATGAAACGAAATCCAAATTGGATTGCTCAAGCAAAGCATGCTGCATAGCATTAATGTGCGTTCTCTAAAACTTTTTTTGGTATTCCTAAATATTAGTCATAAAAAACGAAAATGGAGAAAAATGGAAAATTTAAGGCGAAAAAAAAATTTTTACCGATTCAGTAGTATTTGCACATGATTTTTGCGAAGATAAAAATATATTTGAATCAGTTGAATTGGCAGTATTTAGTAATGATGATGGTAAGCTAAAATAACACTGTTGAAAACAAATATCGAAATATTCGTAAAATTTCCTTATCCTAAAAGCACTCACCATTTCTGATTCGGTTGGCTTCATTTCAATCTAAAAAGAAAAAAACCGTAAACAAAGCCAATATTGCAATTTAGGTTTAGTATTTAATAGGTTTAGTAAGGTGAATGGGCCAATCAAGACCTGGACTGATACGGTCAGGAAAGATTTTGAACATTTAGGTGGACCAGCAATATATGGACGATGGAAAAGAAATGATTTCTATAACTGAAGGTGATGGTGTCAGTCCGCGCAGTTCGCCTTGGAAACGTAGCCAGTGGACCAGCCGAACAATAATGGTGAGAACTGTTAGAAAAAGAAGAACATCAATAGACAGAAATCGAACCATAAGCCAAAGCAGCTGGACTTAGGCACAAATTTGCCTTTTGAAAACCTTTTTTTTTTATTTACATAACAAAGTAGTCTATTGTAGTGATTTCAACATATTTTCAGTTTAAACATTGATTTCGTGATTTCTTCCACGTATTTTTTACTTTATTTCCTTTGTATGTGAAAGCCGATTCATTATTTAATAAATTACATTCATAAATTGATAATCACGATCTCAGTTTTGAAAAATAAAGTCAAGAAAAAAATCAAGAATACTTCGATGAAATCGGTGATGTTAGCCCATTTGGGCTGAATGAAAACGAATCATGAATAGTATCCGATTCAAATTGAGTCACATGGTTTGCAGTTTGCTACAAAAAGAAAAGTGCGTATGTTTAAGTGCCAAATTTATTAAAATAAGAGAAATCGTTTTTAAGCATTACTTATGCCTTATATTTAACGATGGGATGGCATAGTCCATGGATAGTAAATGGATAGTAAATTAATTGCAAAAAAAATGATCGTACTGAGAAGTAACCTTTGGGTTCTGCTTGCGACAAGGAAAGAGCCATTCACCTAAGAAACCAGATGGTGGTTCTCCATCTATTTTTATAGCCAGTGACACTGTGGCGAAAATTTCTAAAAATTCTAAAACCCAACTGAGCTAACCTAACCAGAATGCAAAGCACTTACTTTTAACTTCTACATTTCATCAATCAATTAGCCGAAACATAATTTGCTAGAAAAAAATTATTTGCAAGACAGTAATAAAGCGAGTAAATCTTGCATGAAATATTCTATTATGTCATATAATTATATGATGTCATATAGTCATGATTTTTTATGAAAAAAGTTAATATATACGGTGATTAGTGCAGGACTGAACAAAGGTAAAACTTTTCCTTCTATACAGTCAGAAGCCATTTGATCAGAATTGTCGACATCGAGATTGTTATGAGCGTCTTCATCTGAAACTGCTAAGAGCACTGTACCATATTAATGAGTTCACTTTTTTATAAAAAAGATTTATTTCAACAAATTTGTTATATAAGCAATCATCCATATGTTTCCATGCAAAGGAAGTCAGTCAAAAGCTGGGCTGATATTTTCAAAAGAAATTCTCTGCCCATAAGTGGTCTGGCGATATGTGAATTTAGAAGGTGAAAAAAAGAGTGGCTTCAGTCACTTGGAGAAATCGAGAGACTTATATACCATCTAAATACCCTTCGAAATCATTCTATGTCCCTTTAAGACACAATCAATTTTTTGTGCATTATTTTCAGAGACATCTTCCATAAACACCACCAAATACGGATAATTTTCAATATTTTCTTTCAAAAGCTTAACAATATTTCCTTAAAATCGTTCAAAATGCAATTTAGTCAGTCTCTGCTATGGTCCTCCATCATATTCCGAATTGTGGCACCACATATGAGTAAACAGAGGATGTTCTTGGAGAATTATGGAGATTTATGGTTTCGAAGGGGTAATATAAGGAATTTTGTAGATTTCAAGTGATATGTCAAGGTTTGCGGATAAATCTTTTACATTAAGTTATGCAATGTTTTCACTGATATTACAAAATTGATGATCAACGTTTTTATCACATGGTCGCTCTTGTAGAACTCAAATAATTTGATTATTTAGATTATTGAGCCGAAAAGGGTTTGCCAAATTCAGCTTCATTATAAATTTGAGAAATACTGAGAAATAATCAGCCAAGCTAATAGTATGTTTTTCATATTTTTGTAATTTGAATGATTTGGAATGAATTCACCATTTCTGCATTTTCATCTTTAATTGAGGTTTAAATCTCAATTACTTGGGTCGATTTCTTTCCGTGTTCCATTAACAGATTTCCGGCGTTCCCGGCTGCACCACTTCCAATCTGGGTGAGCACGAAAATGAGCTTCTTTTACCTATAAGTATGCGGAAATGAAAGAGATAAATCTGTGTTTTTTAATCTACAAATATTTTAAGATATTATAAGAAAATAATTAAATTATTAAGTGATACATGGGTTAACTGGGGTTCTCCTTATTCTTCTTGTTTCGACAAAATTCACCATTTCTGGCTTATCTTGTTCTATGATTGTTAGGATGAGATTGCTTAGGAGACCAATTTCCTGTCATCTAAAACAGGAAGTACAGACTGGCTCCTTCGCAACAGAGAAAAAAGAATGGAAAGGATGACGGCTTCACCTTAATCGAAGTAAAGTAACTCTCTTCCACCCTTTTCCATACCTACAATTACCTAGAGTACTGAATAATTGCAGAGCAATTTTAAGGGCGAGAAAAAATAAAAATAATCGCTAAAATATATATAGTAATTATATAATAATATATATTATATAAAATATATTGTATTATATTGTATTATATATTATATAATATAATATATGTAATTATATAATAATAAAAAATATAGTAATTTCACTTCAAACAATTACTTGAGTAGCTAGGTCGTGGTATTTTTTCTTTTCCTCAACACCCAGTGCATACCACCATTCGCCTAAGATTTTCGATACTGTCCGATTATCCCTATTTGGATATTTTTCATGAACAATTGGCCGATGTCGCTTGGAGAAAATCATAAATGCATTCATTGGTCGTCGTATGTGCATCTGAAGAGAATTTTCTATAAAATACCAATTATCTAAATCATCTTTTCGTCATTTCATAAATAATTTTTTTGGAGGAGAAAAAAAGAAAAAACGAACTAATAAATATTTCCTAATGCAACAATGATAAAAACGCAGTCGGCATGCTTCAGATTTATTAAATTTAAAAGCTTTTAAATCTTACAGAATAATTTCTTATTGATCATTTATAAATAATGAAATTAGTTTTTTCACTTTTAAATTAGACAAATCGTAGAGAATTTTAAAAATTGGATCAGCCGTAATTAATTACTGACTTTGCAAGTAGCAAAATATGCATAAAAATCTTAAATACTGAAAAATACTTTATTAAAGAAATTTTCTTCACCAGTGATATTCTCATTTGGCAGCCTAACTTTTTCGCTGTACATCTGGAGGAAATTCATAATTTTCTAGGCCTGGCCTTGTCAAATATAACACAAATATAACAAATATATTATTAAATAAAACTATAACCATCTTCTTGCCAACATCATCGCAACCACTTTGTAGTTTTTGTTTCTTCGATGTTATATCATCCATTAAATTTTCGAAATTATCGTCTTCGTCCTCACATTCAGTAAGGCTGTCTAAAACGAAAAAACTTAAAAAAGCTCGAAAGATAATAAATTTAAAAAGTGAACTTAGCATTTTATCAAAATTTTTCGAATTTTCTTCAATTCAATTGCAATTTTTATCAATTGATCGTTATTTATCAATTGATATCAAATTTTCGTCCATAATTCGATTAATTATTTCAATTAAAGTTTTCGATAATTCGTAAAATATCGTCAAATTAACTAGAATTTCTCAAGCTGGCAAAAATTAAAAATACTATATATAAGCAAATTTGCAAAAAGTAATGAAAGTTGCATGAAATATTCTCAGGAAAAAAAATTAATTAACGAAATTTTGCAAAAACTTTACTTTCGATAATATAGGTTATAAACGTCAATGAAGAGCTAATTATTAAAAGTTGTTATAGCAACTCATATACAGATTTTTTTTTAAAAGATAAATACGAACCTCGGCAGCAAAAATCATGAAAATTGATCTCTTATAGTATAAAATTTATATTATACGTAAGTTATTAAGAAATCCTAAATAAATGAAATATGAAATAGTGATAAACCAGAAATATTCGATGTATCGACGATGCTTTTCATGGACGCTGGTTGTGTGATAATCTCTTCGTTATCCGATTCGTTAATACTAAAAAAACTAACTATGAGCTGAGGCAAAAAAATATACACCAAATACACTAAAAAAAGACATATGATAGTAGCTGAATGAAAAAATTCTGATAAGCAGTTAACAATAAATGATAAATGAACATAATAGATGAGTGATTGCGGAAACAGAAAATAGAATAAAAGTGCGAAAAAAATAAAAATAATGAAAAAATCTTCCGTGGAATGATCTAAGGAAAAAATGGAATGAAAAAAATTTTTAGAACTTTTTTTACTTTTTAGAACGCGGAAGGGAACGAAATTGCAGTATATCAGCCAGTCAGTCAGTCAATAAAAAAAATCCGAATTGCATGCACCTACACATTCGAAAGTAAAACTTCCATCGTCGAGAAAGTATAGCTGTTTTCTATTATTCATTAACTCGTTTTTATAGGCAAACGCTTATTATTTTATCGAATTTCAGAGACTTCCATTAGCGTTTTTCTCTTTTTTTCAGTTAAGAGAAAATTAAAAAAATCTTTTTTTAAATGACAGTAGTTAAATTTAATTTTCAGAGCGCATTTGGTAATTGAAAAAATATCTTAATCATTATGCTTGGTAAGTAATTAGGTAAGCATATTAATGCGGCTAGAAATTTTTTTAGAAATTTTTATTCATTAAACAGTCAGTTGGAGATATAGAAGTACAGCTGAGCCCTCATCACCATTCGGATTTCGATAAGCTACTCCTAATCTACTCCTATTGGTGGTAGGGTCCCCATCTTGGTGCTAGAAGATAATTCAAAACAAGCATTGTCTAATGAACTATGGTCTAAGGAAAATATTTGGATCCAGCTTCATACTTATTTATTTATTTATTGAAAGCCAGCAAAGCAAGGCGACAACGCCATGTGCTTGTATTAATAAACGATAGTTAAAAAACCAAATAAAACAAACCAAATAAAATTTAGTAATAAGAAAAATAGAAAATATGAAAAATTAATAGTTTAAAGAGGAAAAAAAGAGGAAATTGCAGAATAATATAATATAGTACAATTCGAAGTAACTGAATTATATATTGTCGGATGATAAAAGTCGAGATTTCAAACTTCCTGCATAATATGAACTTTTTAAATAAGGTTATAAATGATATTATCTATTCTTTTTTTAGCGATTGCTAAGGATGACGCACAAGCTATATCGTTCGGTAATTTATTCCAGTAATTAATAGCACAATTAATAGCACAAATAAAGAAATCATGAGTCCTTAGTATAGTTTTACACATACGTTTTAGTAATAGGTTCATATGCTTCGTTACCTCGAATTTTTCAGTAGATATTTATCGAATGAACCATTTTCAAGCATTTCAGTAGAAGAAGAAAATTCATCAACATATTTGAAAAAGCTTGAAGTATTCAAGATTGCTTTGTCAGAAGTTTTCGGTAAGGACGAATCGTTTTCCACATTTTTTTCTTTTTGTCCACCTTGAATACGCGAATTTAAGTCGGCACTGGCACCTTTATTTGAAAACTGATAACATTTGCCATGCATAGTTGATGATTCATTTTCATGAGTCTGGAAATATATGAAAGACATACGAATTTTGAAAATTATTCAAACAAAAAAATTTATCAAAAAAACTGAATACCTCCTCTAATCCACTAAAAAATTCCTCAGAAGACATTCTAGAGCGTGTTGTGAAGATTTTTTTTCGCAAATGTGGTACAAGTTGATGCCAAGGCACTGCAGATGCTGCCAGCTTATCTATAAAATATTAGATCCCAGAGATTTCTCATAGAATCTTATTTCGGAGACCGTAGCAAACATTTCTTTTTTACTTCTGGCTTAATAATTTTCAATATTTTTATCTTAGTTTCTAGCTTGAAAAAAAAGAACGCTGCTATTAACGTATCACATAATGCTGCAATTACGAATAATTGAAAGCTTGTCAAAAAAATATCATTGAAAATAAAAACATACAAAATAAAAATATTTAGAAAAAAAAGATTTATTTCAAGAATTTCTAAACCTTCGATTAACAAGCATTTCGGAACTTTAGGATTTCTCATAATTATTGACATTAAACATTACTTAAATTAAAATGCAAAATAAAATTAGTGAATAGCGTATCTTTTGACGTAAAACATTGCCTATTTCTTTAAATATTTAAATTTTGTCTTCCAGGAGATTTCTTTGGCATTTCTATAAGAAATCGCTATAAGTCATTTTCTTTTAGGATGGCAGTTAGATAAGTAAAAAAAAAGGATTTGTTCTTCTCTATTCAGCGATATATGAAACAATCTTTCAATCCTTCATGTTATTGACACAACAATTTACTAAAAAAATAAAATTGAATAAACTCTACCATCATCGATTTCAAATTCCATTTCTGAATATTCTCGATTTTGCGTGATTTGCTCAGCTTCCAATAGAATATTTTGCACGACGACTTCATCTTTAAATGGATTAAAATTAACAATAGATGTAATTAAATAGTTAACGCACACCGGTTAAGTTTCTGGTTACGCTGATTCTGTTGGCAGTTAGTCAAAAAAATTTTTGCCAGCGATGCTTGGCGGTAAAAGTGCAGATGGACTGCCAACACCACCTGGATTTTTCAACAATAGACCGACTCGTCGTGGTCAAAGAACTTTTGCATTTCGATACGATAATCTGAGACATTTTTCATTCGATTCTGCTGCTTAACAATTAATACTAATTAAAAGCTAATTTTAAAACTTTGGTACTATTGCTTTTTTTTCTGCCATAATTTGGTAATAATAGTGTAGTACTTTTATAAAAATGTAAATGTAATATTCAATAGGGGCTGTTTATCTTCTCCATATTTTCTTTTTATCACATAACTGTGCCAATGTCGTTTTGTTATTAATTACTCGAAATTACTCGAATCTTTAAGTGCCCATTAATGCAAAAAAATTTGTACGTTGCTGGCTAATGATGTAATTTATTCGAATTATTTAAGAAAGCGAAAAAATCTTCATAGCCTCATTACGAAAAGAGAAGGAGAACCTATATCGACATCCATAATTCCAATATGGATATGAGAAAAAAGGACGAGCTTAGCGAAACCTCAAAATAAAGATTACAATTCAGTAGTTATTTTATCTATTTAGCTAATAATATAATAAATTCATGAAAAAATGAAGTTAAAAAAAAAGAAGATAAAGTATAAAGTGAATTAAATATTTTAAGCATACTTTAAAAAAACAGATGAAAAGAGATTGTTTTATCTGAAAACTTTCATCCATTTTTACTTTTCTTCTTACCTACCAAATTATACTTTGTGAAATATTGGCTTCTGTTTCTTACAAATCGTTTAAGACAAATGAATGAATTTGAAAAAACGATAAAAATAGAAGCCAATCTAGTTGGACATAAAAAAAGGTTATAATCTTACAATCAATTTAGATTTAAATCTCAAAAAAGCAATAAAAATTTCTCAATTTAAAGAGAAGATTCCTCAACTTTTTATTTTTTTTATCTTTCCATTTGTTGCCATTCGCAATAAACAACTTTAATTGTTAAGTGAAATGAGTAAATGCAACTTGAAATAAAAATTGTACGATTAAAGAATTCTAAAGATTCGATGAACGTTTTTTTTTCCGCTTCTCAAAAGAAAATTCTCTTGTAGAATGTGACAATTAACTTAAAACATGAAATAATCTGAAATTCGAGATCAGCTTTTGAATGCGAGAACAGTCATTTCAGTCAAAAAAAAAGAGCAGGAAAAGGAGAAATAATGGTTGGTATCTTAATATTGAGATTTCCCTAACCATGCGTGTCATGGACTACGCAGCGAAATTCGTGTATTTCTATTTCTTTATTTTTTATAGTCATCTACTCAATAATAGGTCTCTTAAACACTTCGATTCGATTATTTATAATATTTATAACTTTGGAAGTCAAATTCATATCGTGAATTTTTCTAATGTACTAATCTTGCAAGAATTCTTTTTGTATTCTTCATTCTACTTGTCCTCGTCATTAGAGTGTCACGGTTGGTGGTAGGACAGTTGGATGATTAGTAATATGAATATTATCTCTGTCTGACGAAAGGCGTTAGAATTCGACTGCAATAACTTTTTATAGTTTTGCAAACCTTCATATTCGTTCTTACTGGCGATTAAATAGGAATTAAATAAGAATAAATAAGAATATTACGATTAAATAAGAATATTTTAAGCCTAAAATTCATTACAATAGCTTCCAATTTTTTCTATAGTTAATATGAGGAATGCCACGGTGAACTTTTTAATTCTTAATTTGCAGCTGTCATTCACTGGGATATTTTTTATTGTTTATTATATATATTATTTATGAGAAAGTATATTTTTATAAAGAATACCAACCACTGCATGTGACCATTTCCGATAATCGGCTGGTTGAGCAACTAGAAGCGTTATGAGTTGGCGAACCTTTTACATTCAGTTTTAACCGTTTACTATATATCTCTTCGCCACC